TGTTAGCGAAAGATGGCACGGCACACGAGGGGGTGGCGGCCAGCACTACCCCACCCCCGACCGCCTTTGTCTTCCCAGTGGCGATGTTTACACACCGCGGCAGATGTTGATTTGAGACTGAATCGACCTAAGGGAGGCCCAGGACAGGTTCAGATACTCGTCACACCGGTGTGTTGGCCCGTGAGCGGGTATCTAACTCGGGTCGCCGGGTTCGTAGCGCAGCGTAGCGCTGACCCGCTCCCATCTCGCACTCACCCCATTCACGCACTCACCCCATTCACTCGCAAATTCACACCCGGGGCCAACACCACACCGTTACGAAATCATGCTATTCACCATCATCATCAACCATGGTCATTCCACTGCTGGATAAAGGCCTCCCCTCTCCCCCCACGCCGCTTGCGTCTACCACCTACACAACACCACTGTTGCTGTATGGCTCGAGAACAATTTGGACACACACGGTTACTCCAAAACTATCAACGTATCACGTAGCAATGAACTACTGTAACTATTTGGTGATGCTGCCGCGTTTGCATTGGTGCACGTGCAACAAACTCAATACGGTCGGTGCCAACTACACTTCAAATCGCCCGATGATGCTGGTCGATGTTGTGGATTTACCCTCCAACACACCGGTGGGCTGAAGAAGTAACTAATTGGCGTTTTGTTTACGTGACAAATCCCTTACTAATTGGCTGTGTCGGGTGGTGGAGGGTTACGACGGGTTTATACTTACGGGATCTAACCCAAAAACCTTTAATATGAGTAATATTGGTCGCGAAAGCCTACTACATGTTAAACAGACGAAATACACTACGGCCTTAACAGTAAATGTATCATAACGTGGGCGACGTGTCGACCGAAATGGGCCTTTGCGATACAGGGGACTCATCTACTTACGAAAAATCGACTTATGAATTTTCAGAGATAGTCTGTAATGTCCAGTTGCCTGTTCGGATCGAGAGTCGTAAGCACAGCCACCGCGCAATAGATGGCGGTGGTGGCACCTCCATCTGCAGAACGTGAAGAGCCAGTGGCATCTACATCTGCAGAACGTGAAGAACCAGTGGCACCTACATTTGCAGAACGTGAAGAACCAGTGGCACCTACATCTGCAAAACGTGAAGAACCAGTGGCATCTACATCTGCAGAGCGTGAAGAACCAGTGGCATCTACATCTGCAGAACGTGAAGAACCAGTGGCATCTACATCTGCAGAACAAGTGGCATCTACATCTGCAGAAGGTGAAGAACCAGTGGCACCTACATCTGCAGAACGTGAAGAACCAGTGGCATCTACATCTGCAGAACGTGAAGAACCAGTGGCACCTACATCTGCAGAACTGAAGAACCAGTGGCATCTACATCTGCAGAACGTGAAGAACCAGTGGCATCTACATCTGCAGAAGGTGAAGAACCAGTGGCACCTACATCTGCAGAACGTGAAGAACCAGTGGCATCTACATCTACAGAACGTGAAGAACCAGTGGCATCTACATCTGCAGAACGTGAAGAAACAGTGGCACCTACATCTACAGGAGATTATACAACTTGTAAAGCCATTTCCCGTGTTTAGTGTACATGCCGTACAACATGTTTGGAATCGATAGGAGTATAAAGTTAGACTTTTACGAACAGTACCTTTGGAACCTAACTCGTTCGTAAGTAGTCCCTGGACTCCAATGATTGGGTTTTATTTGAAACAGTCGCGGTGGTGAGTGTAGCGGCCTCTAGTGGTTGCCAAGATTCACGTGACCGCCACGTGTAACAGTTATATTTATTCACATCTGAATTGCACAATGATCGGAATCGATACGCACTTAGATTTTACGTCGTTAACCCATCATAATAGACACACACGTCGGTAGGCTTGGTTTATCGAATAAAATAAATTGGGGGGGGGGGGGGGGGGAGTAGATCGCGTTCATATAAACGTGTCGTGAAACCCGCCACCACCCGACAAAGCCAATTAGTAAGGTTTAGTCACGTGAACAAAACGTGCCACTGCGTTACTAGTTCAGCACTACTGTATAGTGTAGTGTATAGTGTAGTATACTAGTACAGCAGCACAGCGGTGTTGTTGAAGAGTAAACCCACGACAAATATTTACAATTAGTGTAGTGTATAGTGTAGTATACTAGTACAGCAACACACCGGTGTGTTGGAGAATAAACCCACTACAAACATTTACAATTCCAGTGAACCGTGACGTTTCGCCGATAATTACAACCAGCCTCATCAGGTGACAGTAAGAATTGTGGAGAAATCTTACTTCTGTTTCGGTCTTAAATAGACGGGGGTGGGGATAAATGGGACGTCGTCACTTATGAACCAATTAGGGTGCGAACGACCAGAGGGGTTGCTCATGTTTTAATTTCAATATGAATGGTCAAATCGATCGATATAAATCGATCATTCTATTACGTCGGGAGGGATATGTTATAAATAATCATCATCATCATCATATAATTGAGTGATCGTCTTTAAGCAGAGAGAGAGATGGGATCAGCGGCGTGGCCCAGCGTTTTGTGCAATTCCACCACGGGGCCGCTGGAGGTCGCTGCAGACCACGCGGCATCCACCACGACCGCTTGCTCGTGGCCGGCGTGCGCGCACGAGGTGGGGGGGGGGGGTTGAGTTTGAATTTCGCGATAGACGCTGCATTTGCTCCACCCCCACCCACAGTCCTCCACCACCACCACCCCTCCCCCCCCTTAGCAGCACCACCGCCACCGCCTTTAGCGAGACATCGTTACAGTGAACAGACCCCCCCCCACACAACACAAAAGCCGAGCCTCGCTCTCCTATCCCCCCCCCCCCCATTATCGCGAGCGGTCTTTGCCAGAATAACTCGCATCCCTTAGCAATAACCACTGCCGTCGCATTAAATGGGGGGAACAAAAAAATAGTCGCCGTTTCGGCCAACGGTTCTTCCTCATGCGCGGTCGCGCAACACTGCCCTAATAAGCGGGGGGGATATATATTTGTCGACGTTTCGCACAATATATGCCACCAAGGCCCATTGCCCGAAACGTCGCCATGTTACACGTTGCTACCGAATTCCCTTTACGAGATGGGTATTAAGTGACGAACTGTGCGCGGGAGTTGTTTCGTGAATTGCGCCACTGCCAAACGGCAGCATCGCAAATGAAAATTTCTTGAATGTGAAGACAAAATCTCTGCATTCTGTGCGAGAGATACACACGGGAGGGGGATTGTGTAGGGGGAGGCGGGGCTTTGCGTTTGGGGGGATTTTTTTAATACCCCTCCAAAAAATGTTACATGTGACAACCTCAACAGGTCCGTGGTTTGTCATCTTAAACATGGTTGAGGGGGGTGTTCTGTTGTTTTAAATATCCAGCAGCTTTATGGGCGGTTTTGTTGTGTGTATAATGTGTCCAACTGCTATGGCTTTAAGGGAAGCTCGGCGGGCTGCAAATGTTTGGCGTCGTGATTGGGGCTCCAGGTGCGCCAGCCAGGGTCTCCTCCTGACCCCCCCCCGCCCGGCCGCCCCGACAACTCCGCGCCTCCCGCAGAGAGCGCTTCTCGCAAGGCGTCGCGGCGGCAGCTTCCCGAGGAACGAAATTAACGATTCCGCTCGCGTCTCCCTTCTCCCTCTCATCCTCTCTCTCTCTCGCTCGCCACACAAAGGGGAGCGTCGGACTCGAGCTTGCGAAGGGAGCGGTAACCTCCCCCCCTCCCCCGCTCATCCTCCCCTTACCCCCCTCCCCCTCTCTCCTTTCCCAACTACCCTCCCCCTCTCTCTCTCCTCTCTACCCCGCCCCCCCTCCCGGCCACTCATCCACCCACTATCCCCCCCCACTCCCTTCCAGCTAACCTCCCCCCACCCGCCTTCCCCCCCCCTCCTCCTCCCGAGATTAATCGACCACGGCTCCCGTGTTCGAGGCATCGAGACAACACAAAGACAACGCGGTTGGATACAGCCGAATACTGTGCAATGCACGCACGGATAAAAAGATCATCCGTGTAGCCTTAACAGACTGTAGGGACAAGTGCTGTTAGCGAGCACCTATGAAGGCCGGCACGGCACACGAGGGGGGTGGGTGGCCAACACCACGCCCGGCCGCCTTTGTCTCCCTAATGGCAATGGGTTTTTTTGTACATATAGCACCAGGTACTCAATTGAGGCTGAGTCAACCTAGGGGGAGGCCCAGGACCGGTTCAGATTATCGTCACTGGTGTTGTCCGTGAGCGGGAATCGAACTCGGGTCGCCGGCTTCGTAGTGCAGCGTAGCGCTAACCGCTGCGCTCGCACACACGCGCACACACACGCGCGCGTGTGCTTGCAAGTGCAATAAATAACACACACGCTTGCCAGTGCATGTCTACTCACACATTACACAGCCATCATCATCACGCAGCAGCAGCAGCACAAGCGAGCTGCCCAAAAAAAACACCCGGACGAGGCTTGAACAAGATCCCCCCCCCCACTCTCCACCTTACCCCAATCGCCCGCTCACTCAAAACGTCCAAGCGAAGCGAGAACAAAAGAATTACAGCAACACAAACATTAACCCGTACGGCACACAACGACGCGATTATCCGCGCCTCCGATTAGCGCGGTTGGCTTCGTGCGGTGCGAAAGAAGTTCGACATTCAGAACATATACAAAACACGCGTACAATTTACTCTTGCCACCCCCCATCCTTCGCCCGCCTTTATCGCTCTACCCCACGGCCCCGGCTCGTAGCGCGCGCGATTCAGAGCGAGCAAAGCGAACGAGCAGAGACACACACACACACGCGCGCCCGTAGACACACACACACGCGCGCCCGTACACACACACACACGCGCCCGTACACACACACACGCGCCCGTACACACACACACGCGCCCGTACACACACACGCGCCCGTACACACACACGCGCCCGTACACACACACACATGCGCCCGTGCACACACACACGCGCCCGTACACACACACACACATGCGCCCGTACACACACACGCGCGCGCCCGTGCACTGGGAACTGACCTGTCCGTTGAGTTTTTGGGGCGATGCCACCGCAGCGTCCCCCACGGTTTCGCGGTTGCCCGCCTTGGACAACTGTCCGCCCATGCTTGCGCTGAACAATAGGCGCGCGCTCGAGACGGCGAGAGGAGCGGAGGCGAGAGAGCGCGCGATGCGGTGCGAGAAGAGATTTGAGACAAAGGAACGAGCGAGAGAGAGAGAGAAAGGGGACCCCTCTCTTCAGACAGCCGCTGCCGACGCCGCCTGTAGCTTTGCCGGAAGAAAAAAAAAATCTGTCGTCTCGGTTTTTTTAAAAATTATTATAATGCGAGTAGCTCCCTCTCTCGCTCGCAGCCACCACCCACCACCTCCTCCTCCAATCCTTATTCCACACCGCGTGGGGAGCGAGCGAAGGGAAGTCTCGGGATGAAGCGAATGAGCCGCCTCGCAGATGCAACGCGCGTCGGCCGCGGCGATTAACGAACGAACAGCAAAAAAATCGAGAAAATGATTCGCTCGAGAAAACGAGATTACAGCTCGCGGACGAGTTCGTAGGCGGGCGGTAGTCGAGGGTTTTGCTTTTTTGCGGTCGTCCTCGCCTCGTCTAAAACAAGCCGACGAATACTTAGCGCGAAGTCGAACGGCGGGGACGAGCCGAGAGCGAGCGAGGGAGCGACACGTGTCGAACAAGACGGCGTGCGAAGAAAAGAGGAGGAACAGGGGCGAGAGCAAGGAGGAGAGGGGGGGGGGTGGAGTCGCGGCGGGGGTGGTGGTGGTCGAGTTGTCGGATGGAACTCTCCGGGAACGACAACGCCGAGTGGGCGACTGCGCTACCGCTGGTTGCTCTGCCGGTGGATAGATGGGGGAGGGTGTGTGGGGAGTTAAAGGAAGAGGAGGCCAAGGGAAGTCGCTCTCGCCGCTACTGCTGCTGCGCTCCTCCGCACGCGCTCCCAGCTCCGATCTGCGCGACACGCGCGCGCTCCCTCGGCTCCCGGGGCGCGCGCTCGAGGGGTAGCGCGCCCGCGCGCGCGTCACCGGCACCCTACCCTCCTCCCGCCCCCGCCAGCCAATTAGGAGCCGTCTCGCAGTGGCGGGGAGGTGGAGGGGGGGGCGGCGTCGGCGCCGTGTGGAGGGGAAGGTGGCAGGGGGCGTGGTTTCGCATAAATCAGGCGAACAATGAGGAGGGGGTGGGGCGGAGTAACGGGGGGAGGGGGAAGGAGGACGTGGGGGGGGGGGGAGATGGGGGAGGGGAGATGAGATTTTTTTTCTCCAACAAATGTTTTACGAAAAGAAAAACCGAGAGACGGAGAGGATGGTAAGGGAAGAGAGAGAGAGGAGGTGATGCGGTGGGATCGTGGCTGGGTGGATGTGGCGACACGAACGCTGGAGAGAAGATGAATTGAACTCCACCTCGCTCGGTTCCGCGCGATCCGTCGCCACGCATTGGCAGAGCCCCTGGCGCGTTCGCATCGCTCCGCGCTCGTGCCAACTAACGAGAGTCGCGCGCGTGCCGTGTGCTCGATACGTTATTGGACAAAGCACCCATCCATGGCACACAGGGCCTACGTTGCGCCCACCGCTCTCACGCATTCGGCCACCCGCCATCCGATGCCCACACACAAATGCACGCGCGCGCGTGCATTTGCAGTCCTCTCTCTGCACCCACCCATCCAAAATCCCATGCCGTCCACTCATCACCCATCTTCCACACATCAACCCAACATCGTCTCACCCGACTCCCGAAAACCACGCACGCCAACTCCACCCCACGCCCTCGCTCCCCTCCCTCTCGCCATCGTCTCTCCCTCCCTGCACCCCGCCTCTCCTCCCTCACCTCGTCACCATCCCCTCCTCCTGCTCTCTCATCCCCCTCGGCGCGCCCTTCCCCCTCCTCCCCACGACCACCTCCTCCTCCCCCCGCGAACGCGCGGTCCCGTTTAAGAGCGGCGTGTTGGGTTCCTCTCGTTCCGTGCCTCTCAGTCTCTCCCAGCGCCTCCCAGTGTCTTGCTCATCCCGTCGTCTTCCGTGTCTCCGCGTCTCGCCACGTGTCTCCCTGTGTCCCTGCATCGCTCCCATCGCATCCTCATCCCGTCATTCAATGTCTCTCCCATGGTCGTCCCTCCGTATATTTACGTGTTATGGTCTCGGTTTGTATATCTCCGTTATTTGCTGTATCCACTGAATCGCACTCCCTGTTTCTCCGTATCGTTCTGTGTCTCTCCGTGCTCATCCTTGTCTCTCTCTGGGTCTATGTCTCCGTGTCTCATCACGTCTCCCCGTCTCTCCCCGTCTCATTTGTCACTACACCGATTCTCGTATTCCTGTTCCTCCCTCCCTCCCTCTCTCCCCGTCTCTGACCGTCGTCTCTCCGCGTTTCTCGTTTCCAGCGCCCGATGGAATTCGGCGTTCCGAGTCAACGCGGAGAGAGTACGGCGACTATGAGCAGAGTCTGTGAGTGAGAGCGAGCGAGCGAGAGAGAGAGTGAAGGAGGCAGAGGGAAAGAGCCATCCGAGAGAGAGGAACCCAGGGAAAGCGAGAGAGTGGGGCAGAGGGTCCTGGATTGCGTTCAAGTGGCGCCACTGTGGCGCGATGTTATCACCCTCGCCTGGTGTACAGGAGGTTGTCGGTTCGATCCCGACTCTGACGCCTGCTGTATATTTGGAGTTTAGATCTTCTCCCCGTGGATGATTTTTCTCCGGGTCCTTCAGGTTGTTCCCTTCGCATTTAGAATCAACATCGCGCGCTTAGAGTATTTGGCTGCAACAAAAAAGTGTTCACGTGATGACAAAGCCACTTCGTTGAGCTATCATTTGTGGTCATGTCGCTTCTGAAAAAAAAGAGCTACATAGCTCGGTAGGCTTTAACTGGTAAAATAGTTTTAGTTTCGAGACGCGGGGAGAAATAGTCAGGGATGGAGAGATGACAGGGCGGCAGTGAGAGAAGACGGTGGGGAGATGGGATGGGGATAGTGTGGGATCCACTAGGATGGGGAGTTGCGGAGAGATGGAGAGCAAAGGACCCTAACGAGAGGGAAGAGCCTAGGGAAAGAAGGAGAAAGGGAGATGGAGAGGGGGCGACTCGGCGAGAAGGATCCAGAGAGAGAGAGCCTGGTCAGGGAGCCGGCGAGGGAGAGGTGGATCCATGGAGAGAGAGCAAGGGGAGTCGGAACCCAGGGAGGGATTGAGACACTTAGATCCTGAGAGTGAGAGATAAGCAGGGGAAGTGAGAGGGGCACAGCGATTAATAGAGAAAGAGAGGCAGGGAGAGTGAGACTTTTTACTTTTAAACCACTTTTATTGCTGCCAGCAACAATAGCACTGGAGCTGGTTTCAGCGAGGTGAGAGCGAGGCAGGGAGAATGACAGTGGCAGTGAGAGTGAGTGAGAGGCGGGGTGAGGTGAGATAGAGAGAGAATAGCAAGGAGAACGAGAGTGACGGGCAGAGTAAGGGAGAGGCAGAGAGGGTGAGAGAGAGAGCAGGCAGGACGAGAGAAGCAGGCAGGGTGAGCCGTGAAGAGAGGGGAACACGGATCCATAACGAGAGAGACGCGGCGAGAGAGCTAAGAGAGATAGCGATACAGTCTTGGAAAATGGGAACCAGGGGAGAGTGAAACTGAAATCCAGAGACAGAGGAAATAGTTCAGAGATGGATCCATGGAGAGAGAGAAGGGGGGGTGTAGACGGGGGGGGCAAGTAGTCTCCTGGACATCTGTGAAAAAGAGCTTTATAGCTCATCGGATTCCTCCTGCAGTAAAAATAACTGCAGATTCTGTTTCTGGGCCTCGTGCCCCCCTCTGTGTCTCCCTGTTACGCACAGGTCGCCTCTCGTGCCCCCCTCTGTCTCCCTGTTGCGCGCAGGTCGCCTCTCCACGCGCCCGCTGCTCCTCTGCAGCTCTCTCTGTGCCGCGGGGCGCAGTCGAGCGAGTCGCCGCTCACCGGGAGCACCCGAGACCTCTGCTACCGATGACTTATCCCTGGACACGACCTTTGACCTAGGTCAACAACAACAAAAGCAGCAGCAGCAACAACAGCAGCAACAACTAAAACGAGCGACAGAAAAACGTTCCGCCGTGCACAATCTTAGCGGTTTGTTTGTTTTCAAGAAATTTTCGATTTTTATTCAATTTGTTTGGGGGGGGGGGGGGGGGGGGGGGGAAGCTAGGGGTTGGCAAACTCTGACTGAAAGCTAGTCCGGTATATTGTTGAAATATATTCTTTATTAATCATTCGTTTTCATTAAACATCCTATTACTAGAATCTCCCGGATTGCTTCGAATAGTCACCGGGGGAATGATGCCAATTCCGTTAGAGCAGTGGTTCTTAACCTTTACTGCAGCCTTGCACCCCTTTACATCGTAAACATATAAATATGTTAATAAACACACAGAGGGTTTGATGAAACAAAGTAGTTGCACTTACGTGCCCGTGCTTAATTTGTGTGTTGGATGATTTAGCTTACAAAAAAAATCACGAAATAACGATTGGGCATCACGTGGGTTTGGAGGAAAGGGGGGGGGGAAGACTCGATCTGCGATATTTTACGGGCATTGGTGAGTCCACTGCTGGAATGAGCCCCCCCCCCTCTTCTCCACCGCGTGAATCCTCGGGGGATTACTTGGCTCATGCCTCACCAGTGGCATGGGCCAAGCAAGAAGATTGAGGACGGCCAGAGCCGAGTCAGGCAGCACTCGCCACCGATGTCGCGCCGTGGCAGGGACTCGAACTCTCGCTGCGTCAGGACCATGGCGCAGTGCGCTAACCACGGCGCCACCGCGCATCCATTCCACTGTACAGTGCAGTAATTGTCGATAGGCAATGGCGAAGGACCTGCAATTGCCCACTCTCGCGACTGCTGGAGGAAGCGCCTCCAACTCAATGGAGCCGCTCTAGAAGGTATTGGAGTCTCTCCTCTTTCCACCCTGGGTCGGACATCTCGGAAGAGGTGGGACCCACGTGATGTGTTGGGACCCACACTTTACCCCCACCGCACGTGGCCCGCCGATAGACTTCACTGGTGTTACCCCCATGCGCAACATGTTGCTATAGGCCAGTCTGCTTGCGGGGCGAGCTTGCGGGCAACGGAGGGCAGTGCAGCAAAAACCCATAGTTGTTCGGTACTTCTATGCTCCCACGTCTGTGCTCCCCGCCCTCAGCAACCAG